TGTCTGAATAAGAAAGCCACAAGAGCAAAGGGAGTGTCAGGAACCACCACCATAGCAAGTTTCCAATCAGGAAAGTTTGAGGCCTTGTTTCTTATTCACATAGTCACTCCCTCGGAATTTTCAGCAGTGAGTAAACTAGCCAAACTAGTCATTCTTAGTTACGAAAACAGTGACCAACAGGAGCTGATGAGGCAGGTGATTCAGATCTGATGGACTAGAAAACAAATTAAATAGAAGAAGAAGAAGAAGAAGAAGAAGAAGAAGAAGAAGAAGAAGAAGAAGAAGAAGAAGAAGAAGAAGAAGAAGAAGAAGAAGAAGAAGAAGAAGAAGAAGAAGAAGAAGAAGAAGAAGAAGAAGAAGAAGAAAGGATGAAGAGGAGGAGAAACTGGCAAAGTTTGGATTGAGATACACATTGGGAAGCATGTTCACTTTCTCACTGCTTCTACAGGTGAACATAATCCTTCAGCATAGTGGTTGGTATGGAATTCAAACAACTCATAATCCCACCCAGCCATTCACTCTCATCCATTCATTCATCCATACAGATGGATTGTAGGGGTTACACCAAAGACAGCATGAAAAACAGTTGTAAAAGTCCAGGTGGGATAACACTGCAGGGCATACAAGGACAGGGAAGCCACCTCCCCGTCGCACAGCACAGTGAGGTTACATTAGAATGGTTCTGGTTTCTCTCTTGATCTGATCACAGTCCCTCCAGGGGAGGTGGGGGAGAGGACAGTAGGCTTATGTATTAGACTGTGAAAGTCACAAGGCACTGGTCACTCAGCCCCTCTCTCCTTTTCTTTGGGGTACACCAGGAAGTTATGGGTATCGGTTCTTCCTGCTCACAGGCTGTCGGTGAGAGAGACAGGAGGTGTCTACAAGGGTAAGTTCACCCTCGGAGCAGTGCAGACATGGCCACATACTATCTGATCCAGAGTCCAAAAGGTGACCTATTCTGGCTTGCGATAAAGGTGGCATTGTTCTCTCATACAGTTATCCCTTTCTAGGGGTTCAGTTCTCAAATCAAGGTGGGTAGGTAGGGTCAGCATTTACGAGTTCTCAAAACCCACTACCCCATGACTGCTTCTCTTTGTTACAAGTATCGGTTCTTTTCCTCTATTCCAGTTTACCTACTCTCCCAAGAATCCAGTGATAAGCAGGGCTTCTTTCTTACTACAGAAAATCTACAGAATCTGAATGACTGGTAAGATGTCATTTGATAAACGTATGATCAGTTAAGAGCAAAAATTCAGATCATAAATGTCACTTAGAACACACAGCTTTCCATTTGAAATACTTCTCTTGATGGGAGGAAGCTTCTAGGGCTGAAAATTGGAAGTCATTTTCTTGCCATTTAAGTGGGGCTAGCTCTTCTGTTTGAACTGCCTGTCATAGAAACACGAAGAGAAGAATGCTCACTCATCCTGCTTTGTCAAAAAAAAATTAAAGATAAAGGAGTAGAGAAGGATCAAAAGCCAAGCAGAAACACCCTTCTCTTCTAGCTCTGGAATCATGTGTTCATTCAGGAAACAATCGTCATCTGCTAAGTGCCAGGCACTGCTCATAGACCTTAGGGACAAATACAACACCGCCTCTAATGGATCTCCACTTCCTCCTCTCCTTGTATACTATTACAACTCATTTCTGATGGGCAGGGTCACATCAATAAGTAGAACTGCCGATATGTTCTATGCATGGAGAATGGGTGACTAAAGGTCCTCCTCCATTGAAAAATACCCAACACGACAATGCAATCTCAACAGAATGCAGACCGTAATATGGTATCCTATCCCATGGTTGGAAAGCATGCGTGTATGGGGGCAGTACAGAAACAAAACAATTCATAGTTCCATCCAGTAACTGTCCATCACCTTTCAATCATCCATTCATCCATCCATTCATTCACAGAGGGTACACACTGGGCTAAACACAAGACCTAAGCATAAGTCATTAACACTCAAGGCAGTTATATAAAACCCCAGGCACCCATAAATGCAAAACAAAGAAAAAGGTACAATTAGTCTAAAATACAAATAGAACATTCTTAAATTCAATGTGATATATACATACATATGTGTGTGTGTATGTGTGTCACAGTAGCCACAAAACATTAAACAAAGGGCAGCTTTTTCCATGATAAATAAGGAGCCACACATTCAGCAAAATGAGTAAGGACCCTGTTTGCAATTAACATTTTTACAAGTTCAAGCTTACTTAAGAGGAGGGTTACACATTATAAAAACCTTCTAATTTGTTACTAATTAGAGAATGTGGCTGGCATGAATAAGTAAACGTCAGGGTGTAAAACAGGTGCTAAGCAGTAGGGCTTTTTCTTAAAGGTGAGGAACTGCAGTGAGTATAAGTAACATTTGTAGCTAACCTGTGTTCTAGACACCCTTCTATAGGACCTGTCTGCTACTGTGCTATTCCCAATAATTAAACACAAGCAAGTCCATTTTTTTTTCTTCCAGAGAGAGACATGAAAGCCCAGAAGTTACTATATTTCCTTTCCAGTTCCTCTGATAAAATTCCTCTTTCCCTGACTCGCTATTTCTCAGTGAACATGTGTAAACTGGTCAATGTCTGGTCTTGATCTGGGAACTCTGTCTGTGATGGTCATACCGAAGAGGGCATTTAGCACCTCAATGGTCCACACACTTCTACAAGTAGCATTGGCCTCTAGAAGGACAATGCCACTGTGGGCAGCAGATGAAAACAGTGGCTCTAGTCTTCAAACACTGAGGCCGAGGAAGGGGACCCTCCCTGGAATCAACACCTCCAAGCTTTCCTTTGATGGCATTTGGACAGCCTCACGAAGTCAGTTAAAAAGTTGCATGAAGGTTTACCGTGCAACCCACTGGCAGTTTCTGAAAGCTTGCTATGGGCTAAGGTCGACACTACTGCCTGGGAAATTAGAGTGTATGGTCTCCATCCTTCCTTGCCTCGGAGTTCAGTGAGAGACGGATTAAGTGTAGGGCAGATTTAAGCACTGGAGCTTGGGAAGATCAGAGCAGGAGGCCCTCGTGACTCAGAAAGGCAGAAGATTAGAAGGTCTGGAACAGATTCCTGGAGGAAATGTTTTCTTTCCCGAGTCTTGAAGGACCATCAGGGAGTATCCAGGAAGGGCCTACTCCCTGCTGAAAGAACTCTCTTAGCAAAAACTGCAGGCACGAATCCTTTCCAGGGAAGGTTTCAAACACTTCTTTCACCCCTCTACTTCAGTCCTCATTCTGATTGGGGCCCAGTGTTTCCTGTGTACTACAGAGGCGTCTCAGTCAAGGAAGTCACTAGGACATAAACTGAGCTCTTTGAAGTCTACAGGCACTTTGCAAAGTCCTTGTTTTTGTAAGGTCTGATTTTACTTGTGCAATCCTGCACAGGGCAAAAAATATGACTGATTCTCTTGCTATACTTCTCACAGAGTGAACAGGAAATTATCTTTAAGATCACTGTGGACTGCCAACAAGTAGGAGGGAGTGTCCCTCACAAAGTCACCTGATGGGTAAGGTGGCAAGGTGGGGAAGAACAAACGACTTTGTTCTCAAGCTTCTGGCAGACTATGTTGGCTTTCTGTTTCTGTGGAATATCTGTCTGTCTGTCTATTGATCTATATTTCATCTATTTATCTATCTTCTATCTACTTATCCATCATCTTTCTATCTTTCATCTATTTATCTTCTATTTATCTATCCATCAGCTATCTGTTATCCACCAGAGAGAAGGGCAGGAGATTGTGTTTTGGGGAGGTGACCATTTTTTGTTGGTATAGCTGAGAAAGCTGGACACAATGGCTTCAGACTGAGAATCTCTTTTCCTGAAACGGCCCAGAGGCCACCATTCCTGAGTTTACAGGAGTTGACTGTGTGACCCGGGCTGTCGGTACTTCAATTAAGAGTCAGAATATTTCTGTCTCTTGAGGCAGAGGGCGAGGCAGAAGCAAGAAACCCTGTGGGCTTTTCTTGTCTGAAGCCTACAAGGAACCGCCTCATTTCCCTTTGGCAAGGAGCCTGATGTAGCTGGCAGCCATGCCTTCCTTTTCCTACTTCAGGTCCCCTCTAGCCCCGAGTGCACTAAGGAACCATAATTCTGGAAGTGAAGGTCGGCTCCCCATGTAACCCCACACTCCTATTTCATCTCATTATAGAGGTGCAATGATACCTCTAATTGGACATCAGAAACTTTCTTGTCCACTTGTCCTTTCCACCCTAGAAACTACCCTAAACAAAAAAGTCTATGCTCTAAAGTAGGCGAAAGTGACGTGGAAACCAGGATCCCTCAAAAATTGCCTGGCCCAATTCTTAACCAGAAAGTTCAAAAGAGGCAGGGCTGTGCAACCAAAATGGCAAATTCGAAGTTCGGCATTACACGAGGAAAGAGGAAGGCAGTCTTCAAAGAAGAGAATTCCCCAATCCAAGCGGCTGGCTACACTTCCATACACTTTTACGAACCCTGGTGCAGGACTTCACAGAAACAGGTGTGAAGACGTCCTCCTTCTAGGGGCAGACCAGCTGCAGCCACTGCTGGGTATGCACGGCACGGGGTCCTCGACCCAAAGGCAGTCCAACCTTCTGGATGACGCACCTGGCTAGAATCTTCTCCTACGTTTGGGTGGCAAAGTGAACAGCCCCAGTCGGGTAGCCACTCAGCCTACCCTCTCTGGAGGGGACAGGGAAAGGGGCAAGTCAGGGCTGAACCCTCGCGCTGGACGTCCCCGCTATCCACCCATTTCCAGCACATTGCTTAGGACTAGGGAGCGCTCTTTCCTCCACCTCCTGCCCCGAAGTCCTGCGCACCTAAATGTCTCTCAAAGGCAAGTGAATTAAGCGTCTCCTGGCCTTGCAGGGCTCAGGTGAGTACCAAGTGGTACGAATGGGAAGGGGCCCGCTGCCGCCACCCCCTTTTCTCTCCACCCCGCCAGAGCCGAGCTTCATCCAGGGATGTGTGGATTGGGGTGCGCGGCTTAAGAGGGAGCTTAAAATGCCCCAAGCGTCCCTTACCTTCCACAGCCATTCTCTCAGAGCTTGCCTAACGCATGCATAATTTTCTTGGCCGAGGTACTCCTCCTGCCCCGTGCTCCCCCCCCTCCTCTCGGTTTTGCCTAAATATTCTGCGCTCATCTGCTCCAGGACCAACCTGCTGCGGTCACGCAAAGCGAGCAGCCGGCTCCTGCTCCGCGCAAAGCAGCATGGGAATTGTAGTCCGTTCTCTCTGTCCCAACCCGAGAAGCTGCCCAATGGTCCCTTGAGGCTCAATTATACCTCCGCAGTGATATTGTAAATACAAATTGTGTGGCATCAGAATGAATACCTTCTTTTCTGGTGTCCTTTGGAGGGAATCTCGAGAGGGCTGGAATTTGAGAGGACTACATATTCCAGACTGCGTTGCCTCTGGCTTCTTTTTAGCTTTGAGAGGAGGAACCCGTGATTGAGACCTTAGCTGTCAATTAGAAGATTTTGGACACCTAGCAGTCTTTGGGCGGGAGGCGACAGGACAGTGGGTGGGTGGCCGGGTGGGTGCTGTAGTCTCTTGTTGCGCCGCTGGACCCTCGGCATTCTGGGTCAATGAGGAGAGCGGAGGCTCCGGCTGTCAGTGGCTGTTCCCCTGGGCCAAGGGACCTGCTGCACAGGGTGCAGTTGAAACTTGTTCCTATGCATCCTGCAGTGTTTGCGGTTGTGCGGAATCCCACCAGGAGAGACAGCGGACTTTCTGATTCTCTCAGTGGTTCTCAGGGTTAAACAGATGCGGGGAGAGTGGCTTAAAAACCTCCCAAAGGCAATATCCTAAGGGACTGATAGAATTACTTTAGAGGACATCAGATCATGGTACAGCTGACGTCCAACTTTCCTGGTTAGGGAGTCCAGTGACATCCTGTGAAGAAGTCCTATCCGCAGCACTGTGCACAGTTCATTTGCTTTCAACCTCTAAACGTGACCTTCCTCTGGGACTGGCTGTTGACACTTTTAAGTATAAAGAATAAAGGGGAATCACTTGTTTGACGGAATCTCAGGACTGGCAAATATTGTTGAAAATTAAACTCCTCCGCAGTTTTGTCCTATATTCAAAAATATAGACTCATTTATGCGTAGTAGGGATAAGAAATGGCCTTGGGAACCTCCGTAGTGAGTTAAGACTTTAAAAAACTCGCACTCATATATGCCTGTTGAAGCCATTCAGTCCCCAACTTATCTGTCCACTCTCCACTGTTTTTGTTTTCTTTTAAGCTTCTTTGTGAAAGAACACTGAGGAAGTGATTCGGAAGTTCTGATCGGAGTGCAAAGCTAAGCCACTAGAAGCCAGGGAGTGGTGGGCACAGACCTTTGATCCCAGCACTTGGGATCTGGCCTTTAATCCTAGCACTTAGGGAGGAGGAGACAGGAGTAATATGGCTGGGTGGAGAGAGGAAAATAAGGCAGGATGAGTCTGAGGAGCAGTGCAGTTTGAGGTTTGGTGGAGACAGTCTGGAGATCCCGTGTGAGGACAGGATTGCCCCTTCGGTCTGAGCATTGGTAGAGGTAAAAGAACTCTCTAGTGGCTGCCCACTCTACTTTGATCCTCTCAGTTTTTGGCTCTGTGCTTTTATTATTAATATCAATTAGAATTCATGCTCCAAGCACCAAGTTTCTCTTTAGAGTGAATGAATGGAAAAGGAAGCCAGAGGAAAGACATTGCCAATGGTCCTCACACGTGTCTGTATAAACACATGCACTTAAGTGTCACCATGGGGCTTTTAAACACTCCACGGCAAAAGCTTAAAGTCATTAGCTGTTTTCAAACTTTAAGGATTTGGGTGATAATAAACCTTTAAATTCACTGGATTCCACTGTTAATACAAAAATTTGTAATAGTTCAAGACTTCAATATCGTTTCTAGCTGGTGTGTCTACTAGCTGGTTTTAGTATAAGTAAAATGTGAAGGAAATACTAGTTTGAGACATAAACTGGTTTCCGTAGTATCAGGTGTGTTCCTAATGGTATCCCATCTCCATGCTCATATTCATGAAGTTTAGGTAACTAGTGCAAATCAAAACTTCAGCAGCCTCTCCTCTCGTCTCTTTCCCTGTCCCTCCATCCCTCCCCTGGCTCGTACCTCACCACCAGCACCCCCCTGTGTGTTTTCCTCCATGTTATGCTGCTGCAAAAGGTAGGAAGGGAGCTGAACTTTTGTGATGCAAGATGAGGAAAAAAAATATGTCCAACAGTGGTCAGAAGGTAAAATTCTGGAAGAATTCAATCAGCCAGGGGTAAGCAAAAAGTCCCCTCGAGTGTGGATGACGGATTACTGTCTCCATAAATCTGAAGGCATGCTCTAGGGCTTGATCTTAATGTTCACAAATGCAAAGAGGGAAAAGAAAAATGAGACCTCGGCTATGATTTAAACTGTAGCCGAGAAAGCAAGCCCACAGCTCACCCAAGATGTGCCTGGGAAAACAAGAAAAGTAGCAGTTGCAACAGTGGGCAGGGCCTCCCATATGCCTTTTCCAGCCTGTGTTATGCAGTAGTAAAAATGCAGCATTTGAAAAGTATTTCTGTGGGGTGAAAATATAATGGTGTATGTTCAGGAAAACTATGGGCTAAATTGTGCTTCGCAGTTTTTAATGTTAATGAAATGAATATTTGTTAGGTGTCTTAGGCGAGACAGGGGCATGCTAATTAAAATCACCTGGAGTCCACATGCAGCTTTTTTTCTAAGGGTTCTTACTCTCTGGGTTCATTTCAGGAGGAAAGCAAACGACACACACTACAACAAATACTGCCCCAGGCTTTGGCTCCGTATGGGAGTTGCTTTATTACTTCCACCACAGACTCCTTTTAAGGGCACAGAGAAAAAGTAGAAATACCTTGGGCCTTGAAAACATAGATTTGGACTCAAAATCTGACAATGTCTATGTACTATGTACTAGCTGGGAAAGACATCAGCAAAGTAATTGGCCCCTCTGGCTTGTAATTAACACTTTCTTATGAACAATTGTCCATTTTTATACGGTGTTTATGAAAAACAGTATCTATGCATATAACCAACTACCCTAAATTATAAAAGTTCCAGGTGGGGAATATTGGTGATTTCACACAATTTCTGCAGCTGGAGGTGTCAGAGTCAAGAGCCAGGAAGACATCTCACTGGGTAAATTTGCTTGTCATACAATCATGAGGTTCAAAGTTTGGATCCCCAACTTCCACATAAAAGCCAGGCATGGCAGCAAGGTGGCACAAAGATAGGAATATTTTGAAGATTCAGTAGCTAGCCAGCCCAGCAAACATGATAAGCTTGGTGAGAGAACACATCTCAAATAATTAGGCAGAGAAGCAATTGAGGAATATAGCTTATATCAACCTCTAAACATTATGCATGCCTTCATGGGGGGGTGTAATACTTAACACACACATACACGAAAACAATCTGAGAATTAATAAGTTGTGTGTTTCTGGCACTGGGTCTTTTGTTAAGTTGTAGTTAGTTTGTCTGTCAGGACTGCACCCATCAGAGGGCTCGACTTGGGCTGGAGATCCACTCCAGACTGACTGCTCTCATACTCTGAAGTCAGTTCTAGCTGTTTCCAGAAGCCTCAAAGCCTTGCACATAGTTCTGTTTGTGGAATTTCAGGGGTGGTCTCACAAAATCATAGCTGTCTTCTCCTAAAGAGTGATTGGAAAGAGCAAAGAGAAAGCCACGAGTCCAACCAGCTAAATGCAATGAAGTTCAGTCCAAACCCAAGTGATAATAATAGGCTCCACTTTTTCAAGTGTCTAAGTGGGCCTGCTTTACACTTCCGTAAGAGGTAACATGGTTGAGATGACTGTAGTAGAAATTAAGAGTTCAGTACATTGCTTCAATTATTATGTGAAAGCTTAAACAGTATCTGATTTGAGGCTACCCCCTCAGTACCCACACAGTACTTTTTGTACTTGCTTAACTAAGTAAAGGTGTGTTACATTTGTTTGTGCTGCAGAATAATTGTTTTCCTGTTAAAGGTGTGTTACTTTTGTTTGTGTCGCAGAATAATTGTTTTCCTGTGGAAAGGTGTGTTGCTTTTGTTTATGCTGCATTTGTTTAATTATGTAAAGCTGTGTTGCTGTTTTTACCATGACTGCCTAAGGCACCTGGTTTGTCTAATAAAAACCTGAATGGCCAATAGCTAAGCAGAAGAGGGATAGGCAGGACTCTCAGGCAGAGAGAGTAAGTAGGAGGAATTTAGATTCCAGGAAGAAAGGAAGGAGAAAGAGGCGGGGCGAGGAGGGAGGGAGGGAGGGGAAGATGCCAGGGGCCAGCGAGCAAGACATAGGGGAAGCAGGAATGTGGGAAACAGAATGAAAGAAATATTTAAAAAAAAAAAAGGTTAAATGTAGATGAACAGGACAGATTAAATTAGTTATAAGAGCTAGTGAAACAAGCCTAAACTAAACTGAGCATCCATACTTAATAAGTCTCCCTGTCATGATTTTGGGGCTGGTGGTCCAAGAAAGCCTGCCAAGAAAGTACTTGGTATACAGTGTCTTTTCTAATGCATTAACTGTTGCTTGCCCTGTGTTTGGTCTTGGGCTAAGCATTTTATATGCAGTATCTGTTCATCTTAACAGTGAGATGGCAGTATCAGTCTCCTAATTTAATTTTAATATAATAAATTTTACAGAGAGTTTATGACATTGATAGAACTAAGAAGTGATTTCAAATAATACATTCCAAGTTGAAGCAAAATTTTAACACCTTACCATATGGGTCTTTCCACCAACGAAGTCTCCAAAATTATTTCTGTGAGATATTTCTCACCCTAAACTTATTTGCTTGGGACTATATTGGAAGTGGAATAAACACTATTTCTGTCTTGGAGTCTATAGTTTTCAGATTTAGATTGCTCTAAAAATTTCCTTACCAAAATTTTTTAGTGTGAACAACAAAGTTGTTTTTTTTTTTTCTGTGCTCTTCTTTTATTCAGCAGTGGTTGGCCACCCACATTGCCCTTTTGCTTTTTTGTTTTTTTTTTCCACTTCAGATCCATCTTTGAAATTTTGATATTTGAAGGTTCTTCGGTCACAGAAGAGTTTGCAAACCATCAAATGGATGTTCACAGAGGTCAACTGTGCTCTAAAATCATAATTACATCATTCTCCTGCTTTCCCATCATTCCAAAAGTTAGT